ACGCTATTTCTCTCCTTCAAACTCAAAGAGAGAAACTCCTGACAGTTGTAAACCGTATGATTTTGTTTACAAAATGTACAGATTGGTGAATGTACACTAACAAATGATTGTCGTTTTAATCTTGGTTGAAGTGATTGAAAAGTTTCAAGTAACTTACACCTTTCATGCAAAAATTCTGTTAGAATATCAAGATAAATGTCATGTTTAGCAAATTCTGCTTCCCATTCCTTTCTGGTGACTGGGTCAAGCTTTAATGACACCATATGAATTATTAGAGCATCCCAATGAGCTACTGGTTGCTTTAATACTTTTAGAGCACGTAAATGCTTATTTAAGTTGTCTACTAAGTTTCGTAGGCTTGTATGAGATTCAGGTTTCACTTGTTCCAAGTCAGACAAAGCTTTAACGTGATTTCTTATTAGAATTTTTTCATTTTCATACCTTTTTATAAAAAGATTCCACGCTATGTCATAATTTGCGGGGGAACATTCCAATGACTTTAGTAGATCTGCAGCAGGACCTTTTAAGGAGAGCCGAAGATAATGAAACTTTTGGACATTTGCTATTGATGCATTATCATGTATAAGTGAGTGAAAGGTGTCCTTAAAAAACAACCATACGTCATAAGCTCAATCGAAGGTGCGTAATGGTATAGGAGGAAGTTTTACATTTGTTGAGATATTTAAATTGAACGGACCCTGTGATACTAAATTCCCCACTGAACCAGCTTGACTATTACCGGCCAAACTATTTGGAGCATGACTTGATACAACTGCATTTTCAATTATATTCTTTGCCTTTGCCATACATTTAAAGTAGGTGTTTTCAAATTCTATAATTTAATTTTCATAGCTGGCACCAGATGTATTTATCTCTAGTGCCTCGAGTCTGTCACAAACATTATTAAAGCTTTCTAAGGAAGGCTGAACCTCAATAATGCAAAGCTCAATCTCTTTTATTTCCACGTTTTCAGGATCTATTAGAGAATCAACAAGTCGCTTAAATCTGGTTAGTTTAGAGTTTAAGTTTTTTTTATTATTTTTTAGTGTTTTGCACTCTATTTAATCTTCAGTCGCCATTGCTATTATAGTGCGATGATTGGCTCTTTAAGGTAGAATTAATTATTGATGACCAACTTTAAAATTCGTTTAAACTTGAAACTGAAAGATGATAAGTCTGGGCTAGGAAGGGAACGCACTGATCTGACTTGAGTCTCTTTTATGCCTTGCCTGTCTTCACTATCCAGATCCAATAGTTATCTTTGCTAGTTTAAATTACACGGGATTCGCCTTGCGCCTTCTTAAAATCCGGCTCGAAGGACCATATGTTGTGCACACCTTTGTATTTTAGTGCCCTGAGGATTACTGCTTGCCTTTTTATTTCGTTTTTTATATATTATTGATTTGATGATTGCTGATTTATTAATTTTTTATTATTGATTATTACTAGATTGACAACTTTACTTTTTTCATTGTTACACACCAAACAACCAGAACAAAAATAAATGACAGGACGCCGAACTGGCACGTTCAGAAATGTTCTATCCTCGCCAACAGTTCTAGTTGTTAAAATTTTATTGAAGAGTTTTGTAAGTTTCGCCGTTAGTAGTGGTCCGCCCTCTTTTAATAGTTTGTTTGGTATGTCATCAAAGCCAGGTGCCTTTCTATTTTTAATCTTACTCTCAATTTTTGTAGTGACTTCCACTGATATTTCCACCGGTTCCGGATTTTCCGCATTTTCTTCTTTGGGCCTTTCTTGTTCTTCGCTGGCATATAATCTTTTAAAGTAGTCTTTCCACTTTGCTTCGTCTATTTGTTGTGTTTGCGCTTATTCTGTAATGTCGAGTTTTCTTCTTCTTAGCATTCCCCAGATTGTCTTTTGCGCGCCATATAAGTCGTGTTTCATTTCTGTGGTGAATTGCTTCCAGTAGTTTAATTTGATATTTCTTATTTCTGTGTTGACTCTGTTTCTTGTTTGATTGTAGTGGTTGCGTACTTCAGGTGTTCTATTGCTTCTGAATGCTAAGTAGGCAATCCGTTTTTCTTTTGCTAGTGCTTTTACTTCCGTTTACTTCATTGTTTGTTTCGGAAGGTTTTATTTGTAGAGATTTTTCTTTTGCCTATAGCTTCGGTGACTGCATTTGTGATATCTGTTCTATTGTTCTTAATGGAACACTTAAATTAATAGCATTTTCAAGTTCTAATCTGAAACTTTGCCAATCTGTTCGCCTGTTTGTTAGTCTAGGAGAATTTTGTTTTTGGATAATAGAATCGCTAAGAGTGAGGAGAATGGGAGAGTGGTCTGAGTTCATGTCCCACGCCTCATCAACTTGAATATAGTTTGCTGAGATATTCCGCACAACAAAAAAATCTATTAGGTCAGGTATTTTATTTCTATCTGTGGGCCAATAAGTTGGTTTCCCAGTTGAGTGTGCTTCGCCTTTTAACTGTCACCCTATATATATGCTAACAATGAATATACATATATACTCACACGTGATATCCCTAAGACTTGCGGAGGCCACGACTAACTGTTGGTTAATTTGGTTAATTCAGGAATATGTACACTTTATTTTGAGATTAACTTTATTCAATATACGAAGTGACAAGTACGTGATCTATACACGATAAAATATAAAAATGTTTCGGTATTAAAATAGATTGTGCACTCAACTATTGTCACTCTCAGACTGGTGGCGTCGGTGGAACTTGATGGAATTTGTTAAATTCCGTTTTAGCAAAAAATATTGAAAATTCTGTTTTGTTCTCGTTGCAATTCATTGTTTTCTTTTAACAAGTTGTTTTTTGTTTCCCTGGTCTCTTGCTTCATTATTTCAAGCTGCTACAGTTTATGGATTTTCTCTTTCTTAAAAGCGACTTTGTGCCTTTCCTAATTTTGTCGAATGTCATTGTTTTTATATTTAGGTCTGCTTGGTGTCATTTGAAGCATAGATTTGTTAGCTGGCGTGCCTGACGTATCCTACACCTCAGAAACCTGGGGTGATCCTGATATGACGCTTGAAATTGTAGCGATTTAGGGCACTGTGAGTTTTCTGCTAGAATTTCGCTTTGATGAGCCGCTGATAACTGAAGAGTGGGTGGCTCTAACATACAGCATAACTCCATCAGATCTGTTAATATAGCTTTCGTTATAAATATTTCTATATCCTTTCATTCAAAATAATTGAGAGTTTTCCAAGTACCACGTTTCAGTACAAACTACAATTATGTGCTTTTCAGCCAAACGCTCAATAAAAATTTCTAATTTTATATATATTTGATATGTTTTTTAGTTTGTGTCCATAGGATTTAATCTGGGTTTTTAGTTGGTTTTGGGTCGTTGGGGGATGTAGATTTGGAATTATCACTTTGAAAGGACTGTCCTCTCTAAAATGTTTATCATGGCTAAGTAGTTTTTAGAATCCTTTAATTGGATTTTGGCTTGAGAACTTTCAATTATTTTCAAAGCATAATAGTCTTCATAGCAATGGCAATCATTTCTAAGGAATCTGTTCGCGGTTTAATGTTTTCAATTCCATAAACAAATATTGGGAGCGTCTCATTTCTTTTGGTAAATTTTCGACCACAGGTACTTCAGCCAGCGTGTCAAATTGGTTTGAAGTTGAAGCACCAACCAGTAATCATTATGATCTTTATCTAACATTCCTTGTTGTGATAGGACTATTTCGCTTATTTTTCTGTAATTTACTTCTTGCCACCCTTGCTCATTTAGAATTTTTTTATAGTAAATATAATAAAAAAAATCAAAACACATAAACTGGATATAATCCAGCATGCACCTGTTATTGGCACCTCACAATGAAACGTGTCCCTATTATCGACACCTACAAGTAGGTATTATCGGCACGTTAAAAGGCTGGATATATTTCAGATCGTACAACATCGGTATTAATATAAAAATAGTCAAAAGAGCTTAAGTTTCAATTGAACAGTTTGTAGTACCAATTCACTAATAACTGTGAAATAGTTCTGAAATTCTGAAATTTCGTCTATGATGAAGAGTCTTCTTTTGTTGTTTGACGTAGGTGTTCTAATTTTTCTATATCTGCTTTTTCCGGCCAAAACCATTTTTTTTTTGGCATATGCGTGACTTCGAGTTGAAGGCAGCCATCTTCATTCTGTAGTCCAATTATCTCACTGGGATAATGCTCGTCGTAATATCTAGTTATAATCTTTTAATTTACATTCATATAAGAACAGAGATTTTTTAAAAGGAGTAGTAACTTGAGTGTGAATGTTCAGTTGAAATAACTGCTGCCCCCTTAGTTTGAGTTATGTTGTTCAGACTTTCCATATCACTATTTGATGGTGTTTCAGCGGCACAACTGAGAGGTGTTATTAATAGAAGTTTGTCTTCAAGAGGACGTAGATCCGTTGAGTTTAAAGTGTCCACGGTACAACTTGGTGGTGTTTCTGATGAAAGAACATTCTCAGAAGCACAAAAATCCGATGCGGTAAACGATTTTATATTTTGTTTTGCAGAAGCTAAGATTGTAGGAGTCCTACCGCCCAGCTTTACAGGACACGATCCTCAATCACATTAAGAGCATCGAACTGTGAATTAGTTGTATTATCTAAATCATTGGATTTTCTTTATACTTTTCAAATTTACTTATAACTGTGTTAGTTTCACATAATATCACAGGGCGATTTGGATCATGGTCTGTACTGACTGGTGTAACATTGAAAACATTGTCTATATCAGTGATTATCAAACTTATTTCTTTTGCCGCCCTCTTTGAAAATGAATTATTTGTCAGCGCCCCCCATTTGTTATACGCCCCTAAACTTAAAAATCACAATTTCATTACTTAATTAATTTTGTTATATTACTCGGTTTTGATGTTTAAACCTACATATTAATAATATATTTTAACCAAATTAAACGAAACAATATAAATATGTAATAAGTTTTTATACTAATCTAATGAGCTGGATGAATTTCATGATATTTTATAAGATTGTTGTGTTGTCTTTAATATCTTTAATATATTGTTTTCTTTAATATCTCTCTAAAGTTAAAAACTGTTAATGCTTTATATAAAATACTATACATTTGTCTGTATTCATTCATTTATTCTTATAATGATCAATTAAATCTATTTATAGTTGAACTGGTTTCTCAAATACTATTTCTATATTGTTTTCAGATATATTTCTATATTGCTTGAAGATAGGGCGTCAACTTTTCTATCAATTGGAGCACCAGCTGCTTATTCAGCCTAAAAAGCTTGACGAACTTGATTTCATTTATTTCCATAGCGTTCATGGGTTGATGAAATTGCCGTGGAGGATTTTCTTCTTTTTCTTCAGTTTCTCTGCATCTACAAGTTAATGCAGTAATACTAAAATAGTTTCTACTACAAGACACGATTCGAAACACAAAAACTTACCTTGAAGATTGTTGAGAACAATTCCATACAAGCTCGCTC